TTTTTGAGTGGTTGCTACAGTATTCTTGCATTTTTCAGGGTAAGATATTACCAGGGTGTTCTGAGTGGTTGCTCAGGGTAATACTAGGGTGTTGCTAGGAAGTTGCTAAAAAGTTTTGAGTGGTTGCTACAGCATTCTGGCCTTTTTCAGGGTAAGGTGTTAGCAGGGTATTCTGAGTGGTTGCTCAGGGTGTTACTAGGGTGTTGCTAGGAAGTTGCCAAAGTGTGTTGAGTGGTTGCTAGCTTTTTTCAGGGTAAGGTGTTAGTAGGGTGTTGTGAGTGGTTGCTCAGGGTGTTACTAGGGTGTTGCTAAAGTGTTTTGAGTGGTTGCTACCACATTCTGGCCTTTTCAGGGTAAGGTGTTAGTAGGGTGTTCTGAGTGGTTGCTAGGGTGTTTCTAGGGTGTTGCTAGGGTGTTCTGAGTGATTGCCAGGTACTAGACAGAAGGCAGGGTGTTCTGGTTAGTTACTAGTGTGTTGCTAGGCAGTTGTTTTGAGCAGTCGCTATATCACTGCAAGTGTCTTCTGAATGTTTTTTTTTTTTTTGAGTAAGGCGTTACTACAGTATGGTGTTTTGAGTGGCTGGATGTTACTAGGCAGTTGTCAAAATATTCTGAGTGGTTATTATGCAGGTGTTTTGCGTGGTTGCCAGGTAGCTGCTAGACAGACACACACATAGACAGAAAGATCTCTTTTGGACTCACTTTGTTACACACACAGAGAGAGAGAGAGAGAGCTTGGTAACACCTGTGGCCACCATCAGAACTGACCCCAGCTGACCTTGTGGGCCCCGGTGGGGTCATGGAGGCCTCAGGGTTGTGTTTGTGTCCACCTCACCACACATGATCAGAGGGCACGCTCGCACGCAACCTGGTGCCCAGATGGGTACTGTACGCCACCCCAAAACGCAGCGCTCACATATTTCCTGGAACATGCACGCACACACACAGGGACATCAAAACACACAAGTCTCCCACATTCCCTGGCTTTCAAGTCCACCGGCAGCAACTCAGATGAGCTTTGGTAGCAGGAGGTGGAGGATTGTGGGATTCTGCCTTGTGTGTGTGTGTGTGCCCTGTTCAATCTCTGTGCATTAGTTATGTTTAGTAGCGGTAACCTTCCTCTAACATTCCCACAAGTCACTCATACAAATGACCTAAATTAGTCAAGTTCACATCTGATGTTTTGGTAATAAAAATACTTACACTACCACTCAAAAGTTTTGGATCAGTCATATTTCGGTCAAGTCTATTCTTCTCTCCAAGGCTGCATTTAATTGAATAAAAATAAATAAATAACAGTAATTGTGAAGCACCAAATCATCTTTTCTGAAGGATCATGTGACTCTGAAGATTGGAGTAATGATGCTGAAAATTCAGCTTTGATCACAGGAATAAATGACACTTTACTATACAGTATATTCACATAGAAAACATAATTAATAATTAACAATATTACTGTTTTTTTTTTTTTTTTTTTTTTTTATCAAATAAATGCAGCCTGAGCAGAAGAGACTTTTTTTAAAAACATTAAAAATCTTACCGATCAAAAACTGGTATAGTCTATATACGTACATTACAAAGCACATAGTATAAGGTGTCATATAGAAGGCAGGTTTGATGTCAAGTTTAGATTATCACTGTAACTTTTCCACTCATAAGTGCTACTTGCACGCATGATGTGTCTGCAGGAACGGACACCTGTGCTGGGGATCTGCAGATGAGCGGGAGGCGTGTGGACTCTTGATGGAAGATGTCTTTTGTGTCCTGATATGAAGCATCAAATGAATGTCTGTCACCACCACCTTCTGCAGCTGGAGTGTGTGTGTGTGTGTGTGGTGGGGGGGGGGGGGGGCACATGGTGCAGGTTGTTCATGTTGAAGTGGAGGGCTAACAGTGCCCCCTGGGGATGAATAACACACTCTCTCTCTTTCTCTCCCTCTCTCTCCCCATTCGCACACCTGCACCGAGGGGGAGATCCATGAATATCTCATGCTTCATGTCAGTGGACTTCTGAAATGAGAAGAACTGCTTCATAATTAGCCTGTCAGTTTCCACCAGTTTGACCCATTCGTTCATCTTTTGGCATGTTGGAATTATCGCGACTCGTGCGATTTGATCACACACGATTGATTGAGAGACACAAACCCACCAAACATGATCTCGTCCTTCACTTTGCTTACCCTCATACTCCTCTCTACAATATAAAGGTAAAAATGTGCTGAAGCGTGTGCTGTTGATTTCCATCCAAAATGGCATCGCTTCCTGTGGATGATGTCATGAAGGGATTTCACAAAAGGAGGGAAAAGTTAGATTGATCAAACATACATTAATGAGAAAACATTCACTAGATTTTAGGGTTATTTTAGTGTCATTGAGATACTATTATACAGTAGTTTTTAATATTTTGAATTCGTTTTAATTAAAAAAATGTGAGTAATTTTATTACAAACATTTTTTTTTTAAATAGGTCTATATAGTTTTAGGGCTGTTGAATCGATTAATCGCATCTAACATAAAATGTTGTAAAAATATAATACACAGTATTCTTACAAACATTCATGCTGGATGCGATTAATCGTTGACCGCTAATTTTTATTTCATTTTAGTTATTACTAGCCGAAATAAGCCTTTTTATTTCAGTTAAAGTTCATTTTATTTCAAGTAACACAGGTTTGTATTATTGTTTTGGGTTTAGTCCACTATGACAGCCCTGATGAATACTCAACGCATTAAATCGTGACATAAACCCAAAGCAAGCGACTACAGGTCTATCGTCTCAGTGGATTTCAATCGACACTGTGTGGATCCAGACCGACAGCTATTAAAACACGACGCGACAAAGTCAAACGCAACGAGAGAACGTGCGAACACGGGAAAGACGGAAACGAAAAGCAAACAGAGAAAGAAAAGCCCGTCTTCTCTTAAACAAATTCCACTGGCATCTTGTAGGTTTTTATTGTGCGCGTTTGGCCCCGGGCCGCATCTGCGGGCCAGCTGTTAGCGGGAGAGACGGGCGAGAGACTCCACAACACAACAGCCAGCAGTAATTGCTAGTGCAGGATATTAAATGTAGTCGATGAAAATGTTTACTGGCGATGAATATGCATAACGATGAGAAGAAAATGGCAGCGGCAGATTAAAAAGAGAGGCAGCTTGTTTACAGGGGAGACGAAAGAGAAAATAGGCGAGAGTGTGTGTGTGTGTGTGTGTGGAATGTTGCTTGGCCCGTTGCCTGAAATAGGAGAGAGGAACCTTTGGGCAAGGCATTAGGGAGTAAAACAGATGGTTTGTGAACCTTTTATTAGGCAGAAAAAAAAGCATTAATCAAAGCGAGGCAGAAAATGGCAGCAGCTCTTTGTTGCAGCACTATTTTTTTGCTGGATTTGTTGTTTTTTTTGTTTTTAAAGGTGTTTCTGCGGCGTGTTTTTCTGTCGTAGTTGTTGCGCCGACATGCAAACATTAATGATGGACTGTTCGCGTGACATACGCGAGTCACTGCGGATGAAATATCGCGTTAACGTCCACAATATACAGTACGAGTCTTTAATGTTGAGCAGTTATTAAAGATGGAAATCATATCGGCTTGGAATATTGGAATATGAAAATGTTCACATCTACATCCAACGGGTTTCATAATTTAACAAGGTTCCATTTCTAAACATTAGTTAACATGAAGTACCAATATAAATAATTGAAATTGTATTATGTAACGGAGCTGAGATTACATGAACAGTTGCATTTTTATTAACAAACATTAACAGATGAATAAATACTATAACAACTGCATTGCATTAACACATCTCTAATCAATATTTCAAATTATAGTTTTCCTTGTGTCCTAAATGTCACTTTCCATGCCATAAAATATTTCGCTAGCCTCATAGCATAATTGCCTAAGTCATTTTGTGTTTTTTCTAGTTTTCCAAAGACACTGAAATATGACTTTTATGCTAACGATTTGTTAAATCTCTCGAACTAACAAGCCAGTTCCTTAATGACATCATCATCCGGGACGTCAACTGATCAACTTCAGGTTGACGTCCTCATGTAACCCGTCTAGCTTTAGCTCTTCATGTCATTGTGTATATAATCAAAACCCTTTCAGAGAATGACGTTCTTAAACTACGACACATGCATTAATTCGCATATTAAAAGACTTTCTGCAGAAGCGAAATGACCCACATTCACTTAGTAAATATTTGATGGCAAGTAAAGCTGCTACAGATGAACAACGGTAATAATAGAGTGACCATCAGCTGACGACAGGCAGGTGTGTGTGTGTGTGTGTGTGTGCACAGCTGCTTCAGAATCTCTTTGTCAGGTGTGTGTTGTTTCTGGTTTTAGCAACACAGAAGGCAGTGCAGTATTATTTTTGTACCAGCCTGGCAGAGAAAGTGTGTGTGTGTGTAACAGAGATGACCTACTTTAAGAAAACACCAGAGTCCGGTTTTAGTCTCTAGGTTTGACACAGGAGAGAAAAAAAACCCATCTCAAATCAACACAATTGATAGTTTCACATCGACGGCGATGTGATGAAATGCGCGATCCTGAAGTGTGCAATCAAAACTCACATATTTCATATATATTTTACATATATTGGGTTTGCTGTATGTTTATCTAACATATTTATACATTGTAAAAGTGTTTTGATCTATAAAAGAGCAATTCAGGTATCCAGGTATGATATATTATGCCTAAAATATGCATTAGGTAACAGTGCTACTAGTCACACTGGTGTACATTATTTGCATTAATGAACAAATAGCAATATACTTGTTACAATATTCAATAATATTTGCTAACGTTGGTTAATAAAGATAAAAGTACAGATATTAACTTAGATGAATAAATGCTTGTTAATGTAGAAACTTCTTTGTTACCATTTACTTTTACGTTATAAATGCAGCTTGTTTATGTTTTGTAAGGGCAGCTTTTAGTTTTGCATATTATAAAGCTGATAATACAGCAGCGTATGACAGGACGTTTGTGTGTGTGTGTACCTGTGGAGTTTCAAACGCGTCGACGCGTCTTTCCTCAGAGTTCGGATCCAAACGGGGCGAGTGAGGGGGAATCTGTTTGGATAAACATAAGAAACAATTATTCATAATTAAACATCACAAAAGCACACTGGCATATTCCTATTAGCAAAGCAATTTAAGCCATCATCTCGAACCTTGGCATTGCTTTAAAGTCTATTAGAAATTACAAGCTCAAATTGAATTTGGCTGGAGTTTGAACAGACCAACCTGCCAGCTATAAACTCAGCTTTTCCCATTTAAAGGGATACGTGTGTGTGTGTGTGTGTGTGTGTGTCACAGGATACACGCCTCTCTCTCGTCCTTCTTTCTTTGATGTCTTTCCCAAAATTCATTTTCCTCCATTAGATAAATCATTAAACGTCTCATTTACGCCTCCTGATTTCACGATGCATTTGCCGAGATCTTTATGCACACTCAGATTTAGAATGAAATATAGAAATCTCATTCATTAACACGGATTTCACGTGTATTTTAGACTTTATAAGGCCTCGTTCTCGACCGTCTCTATATGTGACAGCTTGTTTAGCACTCCATCTCTCAGAGCTGCAGTTTCTGCGGGACGCATTCGAGAGATGCTTTTATCTAAACGGACTTGCTCCGCATTTGCCGTCGTCATTTTTATCAGTTATTGCATTTCTGAAGGCCCTTTCACACTGATTCCCAAAATTCACGTCCGAAATTTTCACACGTTAAAAAATACACTGTTTAAAATAAACCGTAATTTTACGGTAAAAAACGGCAGCTGTGGTTGCCAGAACTTTACCGTCAAAAATATGGTAGCAACTAGGGGTGGGCGTATCGATAAATAGATTTGGTTGTTCCAAACTCATTAAAATTACTAAGATCATGTGTGTGTGTGTTAGTAAGTGTGCCATGATGCTAAATATCAAGCATGTTTTTAAGAATTTTGAGAGTAGACTAAGGCTACGTTCACACTGCAGGCTGAAACGACCTAATTTTGCCCCTATGCGACCTGTATCTGATTTTTTCATGACAGTCTGAACGACACAGATCCGATCTTTTCAAATGCGACCCAGGCCACTTGGGTATGTGGTCCAAATCCGATATGTATCCGATCTTTTGAAATGCGACTTCAATCTGAATGGCCAGTTCACATATATCCGACCCGCACGTCATTGCACGCACCTGTAGCTAGCCAATACACGCTAACTCCAACGCGTTTCTGCACTGTTATGGGCCGCTGCAGACGTGTCTCTTCCTCCAGTGTTGTGCCTGAACGCGTTCATATACTGTATTACTGCCTGATGAACATTACTGTGAACACGTTCATTCTGGTGTCTGTGAACGTGCGCTCTCTGTCAGTTTAACTTCGTACAGTAGGGTGCCAGATTTCTATAGAGCCTTCCAGGTGAAAACCTGGCCAAAACACATGTAAACATGCCTTAAAATGTAGCGAAAAAACACCCAATCTGGCAACACCAGCCACCAGTGTCGCACCGCGGCCGCCGGTGACAAAGCAAGGAGCGCTGAGGTAAAGGAACGCAAAAGAGCGCACTATCAATTAAACGGGTTTTATGACGAGGTTTGCCCGTCAATAAAATAATTGTTGTCTGTGTTTGTATATGGGCTGTGGCAATAATAATAATAAAACAAAAGCTCGCAGCATATGGAAAAAAAGAACTATTCCGCAAACAACAAGTGACGTCGTTGACCGTTGATTACTCTTCTGCGCATGCGGGTCACTTCTGGGTCATTTCACGTTCACACAGGAGATCACAAAAGGTCGCATTTAATTGGAAATGTGAACGACCTTGCAAAAAAAATCTCATTTTTTCAAAAAATCGGAATTGAGCATTAAGCCCTGCAGTGTGAACGTAGCCTTAAATTCTATTGAAGTTCTGAGCCTATTGATCGCCAACTAGTATGAAAATCATCACAGATCCATTGATTTTGTTTGGATTTTTATATTTTTTTTCTGTGGAATGAGTATAGTGTTTGGTGAAAAGAATGGCATATTGCCTGATGTCATAACTTAAGGGAATAGTTGATTGCCAATGAAGTAAAGATGAAAATAGTGGAAAAAAAGTGAAAAAAAACGCCTTTTTGCATTAAATTGATGCAAAATCATGTAGAAATGTGTTTTCAGTGGATGTTGTCCGCACATGTGTTCTGTGTATCTGGAATGCATTTATTGAGAACCTACCCAACCCAACCACTACGGATTTGATGAAAAAAATAATTTTTCACATTTTTCTGATAAAAAAATAAAGGGTGCATACACTAAAATGGCCACATTTTTTTTTTCGCGATATTTCCGGCAGAGCACACCCTTCCAATTATTTGTTCTTAGGGTCAAAGTTAACAGATTAACAAATGTTAACAAATGCTGCAAGTCAGAAGCAATTGAACACAGAGAGCGTTCACACACTGCCGACAATGCATTCAAACAGGGCTGCATTTCCCAAAAGTATCACAAGAAACCATTGATGCTTTAGGGATACGCAGCCCAGAACAGTTTTTGCTAGCCTTTTCAGCCTTTGCTAGCGCTGTGATCTATGGTTTCAAATGTTAAAACAAGGAATACATTAATAAAGTATAGGACATTTGTCATAATCACAGATTCATCCTCACTTTTCTTTCTTTAGTATATTTCATATGCATTTACATTCAGTCATTTAGCAGACGCTTTTATCCAAAGCGACTTACATCTGAGAATGTAAGTCAAACGTATGCAACTTTACTACTAATGATTTATACGTTGTTGATTGAGTTTCTCTTCAGTGTTGTTGTGTTAACACTCTTGTTGTAACTGGTGTGTGTGTGTGTGTGTGTGTTATTGTTCTTGACGGAGTGAGTGTGGGATTAGTGGAGAAGCGGGAGATGTTTCTTTCTGATCTGGTCTTCTCCTGTTTAATCTAGTTAGGGAGTTGGTGTATTTGTATTGTTCTTTCGTAGCTTTAGTTAGTTTCTACTCAGAACATTTGATTGTGTGTGTGTGTGTGTGTTGTTTTGGCCTTGATCTTGAAGCCTTTGAATCCACCCACATTTGTAAAATAAAAAAAAATAATTGTTTTGATTTGATTTTGGTCTTTGTAAAAACACTGGGGCAGAATTCAATCCTGCTGCCTCCAGTTTGTATTCTGTTACATGTTCCTCTCTCCCTCTCACACACACACACACACACACTCTCTCTCACACACTCACAAACAAATACATATTGACACACACACACACACACACATTAACACAAACACACACACACACACACATACTCTCTCACACACATACACACAAACAAATACATATTAACATACACACTCTCTCTCTCACACACGCACACATACTCTCTTTTTTCTCTCTCTCTCTCTCCACACACACACACACACACTCTCTCTCTCTCACACACACACATACTCTCTTTTCTCTCTCTCTCTCTCTCTTTCACACACACACACACACACACACACACATACTCTCTTCTCTCTCTCTCTCACACACACACACTCTCTTTTCTTTCTCTCTCTCTCTCTCTCTCTCACACACACACACACACACACACACACACATACTCTCTTCTCTCTCTCTCTCTCTCTCTCTCTCTCTCTCTCTCACACACACACACACACACACACATACTCTCTCTCTCTCTCTCTCTCTCTCTCTCTCTCTCTCTCTCTCTCTCTCTCTCTCTCTCACACACACACACACACACACACACTCTCCAGTTGCTGCACGTTTCTCCCAGCATGTATCCGGTGTGGTGCTCAGGTTAGCTTTATTGGGGCTTTATGATCCTCGACCTGCTGTTAAACTCATAAAACACGAGATGGAGGATCATAATTACAGCGGAATAAGAGAGAGACCGAGAGACAGACAGGCAAAGAGTGTCTCTCTCTCTCATTGTCAAACATGTGCCATCCGATCATCGATCACACACTCTGACAGCCATCAACAGAGACTCGCAGAGAATAAATGTGGATGTACACCTGATAAACTACAGCATTGTGGAGATCCAAAGCTACAGTAACTGGTTCTGACATCATCGGTGACATCACATCAGGGTTATTATCATTAACTAATACTATTCAAAATTTCTGTTCATTGAAATTTAAGTTGAAGCACAAAAAATGATTAACTTGAAATACATAAAAACTAAAACTGATATAAAAGTTAATTAAACCTAAATAGATATATTTAAAGAAACTAATAAATGACAAAAACAACAATGAAATTATTAAACTAAAATTAACAACGTAAACTAAACTGAAATAAAATAAAATATAAGGATTAGTTGAAAAACTTTGCCTCAACTGGAAATACAAAAACTAAAACTGAAATAAAAATAAATTAATCCTAAATAGCAATATATATTAAAACAAACTATAATGACTATAACTATGAAAACTAAACTGAAATCAAATCATTTTTTTTGAAAAACAAACTAAATGTTGGAAATAAATTATTAACTAGAAATGAAAATAACTGACACTGAAATACAAATCAATTGAACCTAAATAGATAAATATTTGAATTAAATATTTAAAACTAATAAAATGACAAAAGCACATAATGAAATTAGTTTTTTTACAATCACTTTGTTACTATTTTCAGAACCTTGATGTCATTTTTCACAACTCTAGACACGAAACTCACAACCAATGATCAAAATGCTCATTTTTCAAAACTCTAACCCTTTTCTCAATTGCTTGGATACACAACACATAAAACTTAGATGATCTGTTCATTCAACAAAAATCACCTGTGCAATATGACACAACTTAACATTAAAATACTATCAATTGATATAAATGATCAGTAACTGTTGCAGTACTCTTAATAGATGTATGGAAACAGACACACAATCTATCATGTTTACAGTAAATCATGAAAGTTTCACGATAACGACATTCATTGTTATCAATTAGTGTGGAGCATGAACCAATTAGACTACAATGCATGGACATAGCCTATATTTTATATTTTTGCTTTGACTCCAATAAACCAATGTTGTGATTGTACTGTAGTGTTTTGCATCAACATATCACACACTTTGTTCAATGATTCCACTGTGT